TTCAACCCCAATAAGCTTAAAACATATTCTGAAAATTCACCGGACCCCACAGGAACTTTACGGAACCTCAAACTCCCTTGCACGCGCCTCCACGCGCCGTCACACGCTCCTCCAACTTATGCACGCGCCTCCACGCGCTTCTATTAGTTGGCAGGCGCGTTCAGGAGCTTCCACGCGCCCTCACGCGCCTGATCCACTCTCGGCGCGTGTGTGGCTGCCTCTGATTGGTTGCCCTTTACGCTCTGGTGTACTCGCCCACACTAGATCAATCTTCTATTGGTCAAACCTCATCCACGACCTTAATGCATAAGCGCATCAAATCTCTATGCTCCGCAAAGCACTGGATCATCCTTCACTCATCCACTCCACCCAACGGTCCAGATCAGCGGGTGCACCATATTATCATGCGCCGCATCGCATCCAATTATCTGCCACTTCCTCAAATCATCTCAGCCCTTCATGGTCCGCGCGCACAGTAATACAATGAGCCGCGCCGCACCAGATTAAGACCCTATGTTAATGCGCCGATTTGAAGCCTCCAGTGTATACAATGTATATATATATATATATAACACACATAAATAATTATATATATAATTTCCAAAATATCAGAAAAATATAAATAAAATCCAGAAAAATATAGAAAAATTTCCAGAAATCCTAGAAAAATTCCAGAAATTATAATTAACCCTCTTGGTTCACAAATCAAACCTATACTTAATTTTAAACAATATGCACACCTATATACATAATTAAAATCCAACGAATCCACAAATTAAATATAATAATTTATGTTTGTTTTTTTTTTTCCGATCTAACATGATTTAATTAATGACTTTAAACTAAATTCTAGCACCCAAGGTGATAAATTTATGGGTCCTAAGAGGAGAGTTAGAGAGAACTTGCCTGAAGATTTCGAAACGAAATCGAAGCTTTAACCTTTGATTGTCTCTTCCAATTTCGGTATCCGCTTTCTCAGATCCGGCCTACTCCTTGTCCGTTCTCTCTTCTTCTTCCCTCTTTGTCTCTTTTATTTTTCTAACATGAAAACTTCTTAACCCTAAACCTTATGTGTATATTTATACACATTAAACCCTAAATCCTATTCCTAGTAGGATTACAAAATAAAATAATAAACTAATATTATTTAAATAATATAATATATATATATAAACATATATTATATTACTTATGCATATATATATCTCCCATAATTAACCATCGGTTAATTAAATCCTAAATCCTATATATATATATCCATAAACCTATATCCTTCTGTAACACTTATCAATTAATTATATTTATATATAATTAAATTAATAAAAATGATTATTTAAATAATCAAATACCCATTGGCCTTTATTAATTAACCCATCAAGGCTTGATCCAAGCCCAAGACCATATCATTTGGTCCAACATTCCTTAAGCCCAAACCAATTAATCTAAATAAATAAAATAATTAAATAAATACTTAAATTAAAATACTAATTACATAAAACACATAAACAAATAAGAATTTACAACTAAGTCACACCATATCAATACGCCACAATTCAATCAACAATTAAATACACACACATCAATCATCATATCAATTCAATAAATATATAATCACAAAATAAAATCTAACTAAAATGAGACAATTAATCTAAACACTCAATTAAATAAAATAAATCATTTAAAAATAAAATAAAATTCATTAACCCCAATTAATAAATCTTTTAAATTATCGAGGTATTACATCTTTCTTCTCCAAATTCTCTCCGTCTAAAATCTCTTCTACAACATGACTTCAAAACAAGTGAAACAAAATGATCTGAACTTGGAAAACCCTTTTCCAGAAGTGACATTGCATACACAACTAACAAAATCAATGATCAAAACCCTAGATCAAAGCGAACTAGATTCCAATACGTTGATCAACATCTCTGAAAACGCTAAGGGACTTGGCCCAGCGTTTCCGAATCGATTTCCCCCTTCCTTATCTCCAATTTATCCACAAGCCGAGCCGTACCTTCTTTATTCCAAAACTCTCTATCTCACAGCGGAAGGGGACCGACCAACTCTCTCCGTCAAAAATTGGCACCCACCAATGTCCCAGTGGAACGATTGGGTAGATCATGTATCAGCAGCAAAAGGAGAGCAGTGGAAAATGATGGGTATCTTTGACCTCATTCAGCTCAGTAAGATTCCCTTTTCCTTTGACCGACCATTATTTTTTGCCTCTTTACACTTTTGGTCCCCCACAACCAATTCATTTCACTTGCACTTTGGCATGATGGCCCCTACATTGAGGGACGTTTGTTTTCTAACGGGTTTAAAGCCTGGAAGAGATGAAATTAACTATCTCCTCCAGGATGAGGAAACCTCTTTTTACTTTCCAGGATAAAAAGGAGCTAAACCCTATGTGCAATCACATGAACCATTCTTGAAAGAAATGTTAGGAGAAGAAGGGACTGACATAGATGAACAAGAACATATGGGATTTTTACTATTATGGTTGTGTAGATATTTGTTGTGTGCTCCTGCTATCCAGATTACCAAGGACCTTACCCAATTGGCTATCACACTATCCAAAGGGAAACCCATGGCCTTAGCTCCATTCCTGTTAGCGTCCTTCTATAGAGGCTTATCTGACCTTATTACTTCCAACTTTGCAAGATCTGGAGGCCCATTCTGGTTATACCAGTTCTGGCTGCATGCATATTTCCCCGAGTTATCCTCCCCCATTCGGCCTACTCTAAACTATCCTTTGCTGTCATTTGGGTATGCTAGAGTCAAACCCAAAGACCACTCCTTTAATGACTGTTTTAAGTTTTTCTATCATCAGTGCAAGATCAGGACTCAATCCCAATTCCTTTCTTTTTTCAAATGTCAACTAGTTCCATCCTGGTTATTTCCACCTACTACCGATTCTTCAACTGAACAGATTGACCTCTACACCAATTCATGGGGCCATTTCTTGATTGCAAGAGATATACCTTGCAACACCGTTGCTCCCCATCTACCCAAGAGCCGAACTGGGGTTGAATTTTACAACCCAGCCTAGTTAGCCCAGCAATTTAGACTAACCCAAATGATTCCAATACCTCCCTATTTTTCTTATAACAAGAACTATCACCGGCGAGTGAAGCTTTCAAACAGTGAACAAGTTCAAGATGTGTTTAATCGATTCACTCAACTCCTTCAAGGATTTCAGTATAAACCTTTCCTTGAAAAACCACGTACTGACCCAAACTTTGAGAATTGGTGGGCATCTTATATCACTTTTACCAAGACGGTGGATTCCAGTCAACTTGTGTGCAATCTTTTCGGCTCCTACAAGTTCATTTCCTTTAATTTTCAAAGTTTGGATTCCATTGAACCCATTGCCCTTTCTACTGCTCCTGAAACCAGAGAATACAACAAATGTGGCACCAACTCGTCCTCCTCCTACAACCCCTGCAGATAGGACCAAATCTCGCTCTCGGCAGAGTAAGTTTCACATCTTCTTCCTTTCCATATAAACTTCTGTTTTGTTTATACACTTACTAATCATAAATTCAGGCACACATTCCAATGTACCAGACAAATCCATACCCACCAAGTCTGAGGAGACCCATGTTGATTTCTATGTCCCTTTCCAAAGTATACCTCCATCTTCAGCTACTAAGGTAATACCCACAACTGAACCACATATTTACTTTAATGCATACTGTTTTTCTTACTAATCATTCATTTTCAGGAAACAACAAGAAAAAAGACTGTAGGAAGGAAACCTACTCAAAAGGCAAAAGCCAAAAGAAACTTTCAATTGATCGATGATGATGAGGTCATATCCAAGAAAAATAAACCTGTTGCTGAATCTCCCAATGTACTTCCCTTCTTTGCCTGATTTTACATATTACCTTTTTTTCTATAATAAATCGGCACTATTTTCAAAAAACTCAACTCTTTTCAGACCAACAACCAATTCAAGAAATTTCTACAGACCATGTTGATGAAGAAGAAAAAATTGAGTTATTAGTAGGGCAAAAGCAAAAGTCCCTATTGTCTTCTCCACATTTGGCTGCGACTTCAATTAATGAACAAATTAGAGTTTCTGATGAAGTAAGTTAAGACCTTTATCACCTGTTCTTGTAGACTTGTAACAACTGTAATTAACCCAACATATCTCAGGTACAAAAAGACTCGGCTATTCCAACCATTCCTGTTAGTATCAACCCGAGTTCTCCTTTTGCAGCCCTTGATTCGCTATTCGATTCTGTGTTCGACTCACCAGATCCTGAGTCTCTTGAAATCCCACCTGAAAAAACTTCTGAAACTCTCTTAGAAGTAATTAAAGCTGAACTGATACTACTCCACATGCTCCAACAAGATTTGTCCTATGTCCCCTCCTTCAAAGAAGACTTTACCGAGACCTTGTCTTTTCTGAGTAGCTACCCTAGCTTCTCCCTAGAGGACCAGACCTTCTTCAAAAACTTCCAACTCCAAGTCCTTTCCATGATTACTGCTTATGTTGAGTCTACTCAAGCTCTCAACCATTGTGCAGCTCAAACCCAAGAGAAAGAACTGCTTTCTCAATCTTTGAAGAATGGAAAAGAATTGCATTTGTCTTAGAAGAAAAAAGCTGCTGAACTGGATACAAGGGAGAAAAAACTTCAGGCATAACTAGCTCAGCTTTAACAAGACAAATCCCAACTCAGCAACAAAGTGGCAAAACTAAAGAAAGAAGCAGAAGTTGTTGCCCCCAAGTTCAAAGCACTCCAGGCTCAAATGCTAAAGTTAGAGGAGTCCAAGAAGCAGGCAGAATCGAAGCTCGATCAAACCAAAGTATTATGGGCAAGTTTCAAAGCCCAATTTGAAGAATTTCATCAGAACTTTAAACAACCTTGAACTTTTATTATCTCATGACAACTATTATGGATCTGTAATGTAGTTTTCGAACAGTTTGCATCTTTTGGGAAGTAATGTGGTTTTCTTTGAACAATCTTGCTTTCACAATACATTGATGCTACTACTTATTTATCGCAGGAGCAAATTTTATCTTTACACAACTTGCATAAAATACAATCCACACTATCTTGACTTACTGGAATTTTCTTTTCTTCCATGAGCTCAAAAATAATTGGCTTATATTTTTTAAGGTATCTTCCATTTATTGGCCTATCATGGATTTCACCATTTAGATCTTTTAACCTATAAGCGCCTCCATGCAATACTTGATTAACCAAATAGGGACCCTTCCAAGTAGGTGACCACTTGCCATAATCTCTATCCACCTTCCCAGGTGGAAGAATTGTTTGCCAAACCATATCACTATCTGCAAATAACTTGAACTCCACTATTTTGTTGTAAGCCCTCATTACTTTTGCTTTATGAACCATAAGGTGATCTAAAGCAAGTTTTTGGACTTCATCTAAATCTTCTAACTCGGCCAGCATAGCTTCGTTGTAATCGGCAGGTATAACATTGTGTTGTAAAGCTACTCTTTCCGATTTTACATTTAACTCAATCGGCAACACAGCGTCGTGGCCAAATGTAAGCCGATAAGGAATTGTTCCTGTACTTGTTCACTTCGAATTTCTATAAGCCCACAAAGCTTCTGAAAGGGCTTTATGCCAACGCCTCGGCTTGTCTTTTATCATCTTCTCAATAATTTCAATCACAACTTTATTTGAAGCTTCTGCTTGGCCATTCCCTTGAGCATAATAGGGTGTTGAGGTAACCATTTTCACTTACATATCAATGCCGAGTTGTAATACTTTATTTGCTCGAAACACAGGTCCATTATCGGCAACGATTGTTTCTGGTAAACCAAATCGATGAAAGATATGTCGCTCTAGAAATTGTATCACAGTGTTATGAGTTACTGAGACATATTCCTCGGCTTCAACCCACATAGTAAAATAATCGATAGCTAAAATAATCCAATGATGACCTTTTGATGAAGGCGGATTAATCTTGTTGATTAGATCCATGGCCCAACCTCTGAAAGGCCATGGTTTAACTAATAATTGTAATTCTATTGCTGGAACCCACTGTATTGGGCCATGCTTTTGACAGTCTATACAACCTTTTGCATAAGTCATACAATCTTTTCTCATTCCAGGCCAATAATATCCATATCGGCGTATCAACCATCTCATCTTTATGCCGGCTTGGTAAGCTCCACATATCCCTTCATGTACCTTGGCCATAATCTTCAAACCCTCAAACTTACTAATGCACTGAAATAACAAACCATCATCAGCCGATCTTTTATAAAGATCTCCATCCATAAGCACATAGTCAACTATACTTCTCTTTATTCTTCGGTCAGTTTCTTGAGTTGGATGTTGCAAGAACAAGATGTAAAGGATTCGCCAATCATCATCATCCAACTCAGCAACATCAGTGGCAAAGACTTCTTCCATAACTTGATTTCTTATTTCAGCCGATGGAAGAGATCGGCGTGTAATCTTCATTATCTTTTCCTTCATACCACTCGAAACCCTAACTCCTGAAGCAATCTGTGCTAAATCATTAGCTATTTTATTCATGGCCTTTGGTCTATATTCCAAAGTCACATTATGAAATTGGTTAACCAATTGGGTTACCAATGAATGGAATGGTCTTAATTGCCAATTCAAGCATCTAAAGTCTTCTGAGATTTGATTAATCACTAAACTCGAATCTCCCACAATGTGGACGTCTTTGACTGCCATTTCTAGCAGAATTTCCAAGCCCATAATCAATGCTTCATACTCGGCTTGATTATTTGAGCACCTGAAATCCAAAAAGAAAGAAAACGAAATTTGATTCCCTGTTGGGGATATTAGCACAATGCCAGCTCCTGACCCTTCACTGGTACTCGACCCATCAAACATTAAAGTCCAAGGGGTCATGAATATAGCTACCGAGTCAAGCTCATCAAACACTTGTGATTCAATTTCAGGTGATGGATGATCGGCAAGAAAGTCTGCCAATGCTCTTCCCTTAATTGCCTTTTGTGGAACATATGCAAACTTGAATTCCATTAGTGCCAAAGCCCATTTGCCAATCCGGCCTGTGATTAATGGCCTTGATAACATATACTTTATAAGATAGGTTTGACAAACAATATAAACCAAAACAGGCAACATATAGACTCTTAATTTCATTGCTACAAAATACAAAGCCAAACATAATTTCTCAATTGGTGTATATCTACACTCGACTAGAGTTAAAACTCGGCTAAGATAATATATTGCTTGCTCACTTCCTACTTCATTTTCTTGTGCTAACATAGCTCTAATGGATTCTTCAGTAGCCGATAAATATAACTTCATCGGCCATTTCTTCCTTGGTGGCATCATGACAGGAGGAGTCGACAAGTATTTCTTAATCTGGTCAAATGCCCTTTGATATGTGTCATCCCATTTGAATTCTTCCATCGGCTTCAACTTGAGTAGCGGGCAAAACACATATAATTCCCCTTGACAATAAATCTCCTAAGATAGTTTACTTGCCCAAATAACTTCTGTAACTGTTTCTTGCTTCTCGGCGCACTTGTATCAATAATTGCCTTATCTTTGTTTCTATCGACCTTTATACCCCTTTGATGAACCAGGAAACCCAAAAAGTTTCCTACCGATACTTCAAAGGCACACTTTATTGGATTCATTTTTAGCTTATGAGCCCTCATCCTCTCAAATGATGTTTTGAGATGAGCCAAGTGTTCCTTTTTTGTTGCTGATTTCACTACTACATCATCAATATACACCTCCATATACTTGCCAAGCATATCATGAAAAATATAATTCATGGCTCGCTAACATGTGGCACCAACATTCTTCAACCCAAAAGGCATTACCACCCATTCAAAAGTTCCAATCGATCCAGGACACCTAAAAGCTGTCTTTGGAATATCCTCTTCAGTTATATAAATCTGATTATAACTTGAGTGTCCATCCATAAAAGACATAATTTGGTGCTTTGCAGCCGCATGAATCAGCTGATCGGCTATCGGCATTGGATACTCATCTTTTGGAGTTGCCAAGTTTATGTTTCGGAAATCAACACATATACGAAATTTTCCATTCTTCTTGATAACAGGAACTACATTTAATGTAATACCCCTAATTTAAAATGATAGGTTTGGAATTTATTTTATTGTTTACATTATATTTTTATTTATTTAACTATGAATTGATTTGTTTTAATTGAAAATTTGTTTATATTTCAATGTGAGTTTATTTTGTTTTATGTGTATGTCTTATTTTAATTTAATTGTTTATTGCTGTGGTTTAATTGCATTTAGTTATTTAATAGATTTAATTGTAGTTTTCCTTTAAGTGGGTTGAATTAGTTATTTTAATTAGGATTAAATGCTTTAATTGTTATAATTTAACTATTTAGGTGATTTAATCTAATTTAATATAATGGTTAATTATTTGAATTTAAGTGTTAATTATTTTCATTTAATTGTTGTTTTAATTAGGGTTGTGTTTTAAAAAAAAAAAAGTCATGTTATAGCCGTCGTAGGAATCTAAGTAAGTTGGATGGGCCGGTTAGGATTATAGTTGGGTCTTGCATTAAGCTAGGGTTTAGTAAAATCCTATAAATATATGTGAGATGTTTGGTTAGGGTTTTAGGAAAAAATAACAAAACCAAGTATACGTCTGTGGAGGCAGAGGAGGAACAGAGGAACTTTTGCAGTAGGAATCGCCGGAAAGCTTAGAAGAAGACGTAGAGATTTTTAAACAAAGGTCTCAAAGGCAAGTTCTGTCTTAACTCTCTCCCTTAGGCTTCGTGTTCTTTGCATACTTAAATAGTTTCAGGTTGAGTTACATGTTTAAAACAAAAAGAAAATATATGTTTTCATGTTTAGAAATTGGAAGCGTATCAGTATGTGTTTATACTTGTTAAACTGAGTACACTTGAAACTTTCTTGTAAATTTCTTTGTTTAAATCCATGCTAGTAGTATACTAAGGACATAAATAAGGGTGGAAATTTACTGGAAGTAAGGCAAAAATTCTGGAAACCAAAATACAGATGTGCCGAAGGTGTAAACGAAGCTAGAATGCGAGAACAGAGAGAAAATGAGGGAGAGAGCCTGCTTTCCCTTGGAGGGAGCCGGCTCTCCTTGTAAAGGAGGCGGCTCCAAGGAATTAGGAGCCGGCTCCAAGGCCAATGGAGGCGGCTCCATGGTTTTTGGAGCCTGCTCCATTTTGGTTTTTCCCAGCTTTTACGTTCTATTGATTTTTCTTTTGATTTTCAGTGAGACAGAGGCTTGGTTATGAAGTTTCTAAGTTTTTCCTAAGAGATTTCAATACTTTAATGAATGGTTTAACAGTGGACTGGTGTGGGGATAAAGATTTAAGGGTGGTGAGTCTGCTCCATGGGTGTTCTCTTTGGTGTTTTATTTTCTGTTTTGCTTTTTCTTCAATTGCAGTGATAAGGCTTCATGAGGGGTTGATTTCCTATGTTTTAAATGGAAATTAAATACTGTGAGAAATGGTTTAGAGTAAATTTAAATTGCCAAGAACAGAATATTATAAAGCTGCACTCAGAGCATCTAATGGTAAAATTGTATGGAATCAGTTTAGGTGTTCTGCAGAGAGGTATGGTTTTGGTTAATTAAATTTCTTAATGTTATTAGAAGTTTCTGTGAGAGCTTATTTCACTGTTAATGGAATGTGTCTGTGCAAGTATAAAGACATATACATGTTTTAAGTCTATGTTGTGCTAAGATTTTATTGTAAAATTGAGTGCATAAACTTGTTGGACAGAAAACTACAAGTATGATAAATTACTTATAGTTATTTTTGCATGTCATGGAATTGAGTTAAACAATATCTATTTATGCTCTGTTGGTTATATGGAAACTGGAAATGGAGTTATAATACAGTTACAGTCCGGTGTGATCAGGTTATGGTTTCTGTGTTGATTTAATTAAAGCATGTCCGTTAAACTACTTTATCCTGCTTAGTTTAGAATTCTTGGGATTGACATTCATATGGTTAGTATGTTTATCAACTGGTTTAATTAAAGCATGTTTGATAATTACTTTACTATACCTAGTAGGGACTTGTTGATATTGTTATTTAATTGTCAATACCTTATCAACTGTTGGATGGATGGAATTGTATGCACCGGTATGGGACGGTGTCATACTAGGTTTGGATTAGCTCAAATTGCTAAGTCCTACCTATTTTGGAATAAGGGCACGAGTTATTAAATACAATCATTCTTATATATATAAGTCGGTACGGTTGAATCTGCCGAATGACTTATTGGATTCCTTGTGGATGGTTAGGAACGGAGTTTAGATATATTTTTATGATACCGTGTCATGAGCTTGAGTTTCAGTGTCTACGGTTAGGGTGCGTATATGCAATTGGATGTGTAGCTGACTGTGAGGTTGAGGTATACCCTGTTTAGGCCTAGGTACTCATACCCACTCAGGTGCGATTTGTGTGATGCCTTCTATTCAGGTTGAAACCCTCTTCATAGTCTAGCGAAGGTCCAGTAGTGTGGATATATATTTATGTACGGACTATTAGCTATTGTTGAACTATTTAGTATGTACATGCGTATCGGGTCTCTGCTTGGATTGCAGTAGGATAGAACTTGTTCGTGGGCCTGACCCACTCCTATTTTACAGGTGTACGTCAGTTCCAGGCTTGAGCTTGTTCATGTGGAGCAGAGACGGTCACTCACTCTTCTGACGATGTAGGATGTCCTTCCATATTTTAGTATTTGGTTTTATGTCAGTTGTTTACGTTTCAGTTGAGATTTTTATTTAGGGGCCCACTAGATGGATTCCCGAGTTGTAATTCATGGAAGTTTTGGAAGTTGGATTTTATTAAGTTTTATCAGGCTATTGAGGATTTTATATTAGTATTCTGTTCAGCTTTTAATAGTTATTCTTATTTCATTTTTTCATCTGTGTTCGTTTTAAAATACTTTAATTGTTTGATTTCTCTTGGGTTTGGGTATGGGCTTAATCAACCCATGTCTCGGATCCGAGGGGTATCACATTTAATAACCATTCAACATACCTTGTAGTTCGAATGAAGCCAGCATCCAACAATCATTCGATTTCTACTTTGACTTTGTCTACCACCTCTTGAGACATTCGACGAGGTGGCTGTTTATATGACTTATAACCATCTTTAATAGGCAGCCGATGTTCTACCAGATCTCTGGATAAACCTAGCATTTCCTCATAATTCCAAGCAAAACAGTCACTGTATTGTTTCAACATGCCGATAACCTCGGCTTGTAATTCTGGTTCTAACAATGCACTGATATAAGTTGGTCTAGGCTCTGCGTCAGTGCCTAAATTCACCTCCTTTAAAGGATCCTGAGTTTCTGCTTTAAGATTATCAAGCTTAGTTGGTGCCAATTCCAAGTCTTCCAACTGAATTGCATCCAATTTTTCATTATTGAACCGATCGATCTCAGTAAGATTAACCGATGGTCCTGGCTCTATTATTGCTTCTTTTTCTAGCCGTTTCTCGGCTATGTATACTTGTAGCCTAATGCAAGCGGCCCTAAAGGCCTGCTGCCGAGCAACTTCCCTTTCAAGTTTCGCTTCCATCAACAACTTCTTCAATTATAGCAAGCGGATGGAGTTCTACCTTCGACCTATAATTCTCCTGCTGCAACTCGCCGATTTCACGATCGGCAAGACTTCTTCTCATGGTTTCCGAGGTTGGTCTTCCATCGGCTCCTGTTCCCACAAATCGAATAGGAACACACTCTTCATCATACAAAACTGCATCTGCAGAGTATACTTTTGCCACAAATGGCTTGTCATAGGCATTTATTATCTTTACCTTATCTCCATCCCAAAAAATCAGCATCTGGTGTAATGATGATGGGATGCACATATTTGGATAAATCTAGTCACGGCCTAATAACAAATTATACGAAACCGTGGATTCAATAATAAAGAATGCCGCAAAAGATGTTCTACTTCCAACTTCTACTTCTAAAGGAAGGATTCCTTTAGTGCTAGTAGAACCTCCATTGAAACCGCAAATTGCTACATTGGTAGGACTAACATCTTCTATACTCTTGCCGAGTTTCTTCAATGTGTTTGCTGGAATAACATTCAAAACCAAGCCATTGTCTACCAAGACTTGATTAATAGATTGACCTTCTACCCATACCTTAACATACAAAGGCCTGAGTTGTTGAGTCATTGCTAACAAAGGTTTTTCAAAAACCACTTTCTCTGCCGTTTCTGAAGAAAGAATTGATAAATTCTGAATCGGCTGAGTTTCCTTCTCATTCTTCTCAGTATATGCATTTGATGCCGATGGAGCCTGGAACATTGCTGGTAATACAAATGTCATGTTACATGACATCTCATCTGGGAAACTGCCAAACTGAATTCTGAAATCATTGCTGCGTCTGGGCCACGTCGGCTGATGCTCCTCATCC